AGATTAATTTCTTGCTAGGCTTCAGGACAACAGATGACATATACTGCAAAGGTTCTAGATGACCTGATCAAATTTTACTTGAAAAATAAAGAAAGATTCTCAGTTTGGGTTTGAAAGAGAGGGTCCTTTTAGCACTTATTCTTGGAAGTTTTCTCAACAGTCAATGATCTTACTTGAACATTTTATTCAGAAATAAGTAAAATATTTATATGATTTCCTGCTGGTTTGTGTTTCAGTGCAGTATAATTTATAGAATTAGAAATCATTACAGTTCCCATTTAAGTATTCCCATCATAAAATAAAAGAAAGTCAATTTAAATCTTTATGAAATTCATTGTTTGAAAACAACAAGGACATAAGGGACACTAACACAGTCATATTATAAGCTGAAAATACTAAGAAGTATCTTATTTTGTAATCTACAGTTAGGAAAACTTCACTTGGTCCTCAAACAGATGCAGTACTATAGAGACACACTATATTAACAGATGCTGTTGGGTTAAAAGAGTACATTACATTAAAGAAAAAGAGAAAAAATTTTTAGTACATACAACAAGGAAGAAAGTTACTACAGAATGACTAATTCCTTTACAGTAAAGCTTTACAATGTGTGTAGCCTCATTAGCCCCGACTAGTAAGGCCGTCTTTATACAGTCACAAGAGTTTTGGCCACATGGCTTATTAAAATTATTTATTACACTATGTTAGCTTAGCATTAAAAAATTCCTTTTTACTTTATTTAATGATGTAATGCCACTCAGGGTTTATGGAAAGCAAAAGAGTAGCTTTGTAGCATTCCCTTGGGTATAAGCAATTATTAGAAGATAATCAAAAAGTCAAAATGCACTTGAATGCAATAACAACATTAATGAGCTCATATTCACCATTGAAATTCTAAACTCAACACTTAACAACATAACGATATTCTTTCAACTCCATTGCTTTAGTTACTGAAGAACTTAATTGGCCACCTTTCAGAGCTATATGTGGTACACGCTAAGTCACTACACAACATTTTTCCTTGACAATTTCAAAGATGGAATAATCAGATCTTTGTTGTGATTGGTCAGCACTCTACCTACTCAATTTTTCTTGCAATGCTTCACAAAAGCACTGGATTTTGATATACCCATACAAAGAACAAACTGAAGACTCACATTAATGGTTGCATTAATAATATTAAGGCAAAAAAGTGAAATAAATATTAATGAAGATTTGGTCATCAACATGCATCTGAAGGCACTTGGTAGTTCCTTTCAACGTCTAATGTAAATAGAGAAACCACTTTTCATGTCTTGCATTTGTCATAGCTTTGATCACATTGCATAATGGTAATAGTGTTCAATCCTGGTAATCAAACTAGTGCATTTTTAGAACTAAAAGTATTTGGTATTTTACAATTATGGTAGGTTTGTACAGTCTGAAGAAAAAATGTTAAAAATAAAAATCAATTAAATACATCCATTTGTGAAAAGTAAGTTATGCTTATTATGGCATCAACACCATACAATTTAAAAGCTATTCTAGGTTACAAACTATTATGATTTGGATGAATGTTCAGATGAGATTTCATTCCACACAGCTTATCTCTCACACTACTGTCTTTCCTGCAGAAATAACTGTATATATTATTTGACAGTTTAATGTACAGGGTATAAAAAAGACAGTTGCAAATGTAAGTAGTTTATATAACTACTTATAGAGACCTGGCACCAGATAACAATGCATAGATAATAGATGGTATGAACATTTCCAGTTCATGAAATGCCTGTGCAAAGAGAACATTATTGGACAACCTGGACTAGACAAGAAATTCAGCTGTAAAAAAGCACCTTTCACACAGAGCCTTAAAAATGTCAGTAGCGATGCAGCCCTGGACATTGCAGAAGGTGTTAAGAAATGATTGCATATGAAGTCATTATGTCTGTAGCTTTTGTATACAGTCAAAAGTCGTTAATTCGGACACCCATAATCCGGACCTCAAAGCTAAAAACTTTCTGCGCATGCGCCGCGTTGACACATGCGCATAGGCGTTTACGCGTGCGCATAAGACCTTTTACGACTGCGCATATGCGTGTGCGCAATCGCAGAATACGTTTTCGCGTGCGCGTTTAATGTATAACGGACGGTATAAGCTAAAATTATCTAATTATCTATTTCAGTAAATGTTGATGATTGCGTTGCTCCTTAATCTTCGAATTGAATCTGGATTATTATTTTTTGCAGACTGTAAGAGCAATATTACAAAAGTAAACTTGAACTTTCGATTATGTCAAGTAGAATTTCCGATTCTGGAGCTCCCAAAGGAACGTACAAAATGAAAGTATGTTTCGATGTCCATCAAACAAAAAGTGGAATTGCTGCAAAAAATAGATAAAGACATGAAGAATGTGACAGAGAGGTTAGTGAAAACAAAAAAATTTCGATTGACAAGTTAGTCGGTATTCTCGGCACAGCAATTAACGGGACTTGAACAGCGGAACTTTGTAACTGAACAAGAAATTATGTCTGTTTATAGAATTAAAGAGAAAGTATTATCACATAAAACGAAGCAACTTAAACAACTACATTGAAAGAAATGTTTAATAAAGTAAACAAAGAAATATTAAGCTTTTTTTTTTTTTTGTAAATTTTGATACCCTTTAGATCATAATTGTTCTTTATTTGATAAATTACGGTTTCATATTTTTAATTTTGGAATTTCTGCATGCCATCTTACGAGATTTAAACTGATGATCTATAATCCGGAAAAATCGATAATCTGAAATCGCTGAAGTCCCAACGAGTCCGGATTAACGACTTTTGACTGTACCTTGAATCCTGTAAAATCATGTGGTATGCACCAATTTTATTATCAAAATGCATGGACAAGCAATGGCTGATAAGTTTCCCTTAGATGTTATTTATAGTGATCATAAACATTTCATTATCCTAGCTATGGGAATCACATATCTATGCATGGAAAACAAAAAAATGACAAGAAATACGGTATAATACAAAACTAATTCTTCAGAAGTTAACATTTTGCACACTTTTTCCAAGAACTGTTACATAGCATGCCTATCTTAATATGCTTCAGATCTGGTTCCTACCAATACAATCACCATTTTCTATAGGAAGTTAAGGAATGATAGCTTTCCTCACTGCTGGATTGATACCTGATTTATAAATAAGTTTTTTTTTTATCATGTAACCACAATAATCAAATAACAACAGAAAGATGATGGCTAGTCCCTCTCTGTGTATCCACATGCTATTTACTGACATGCTAGAAACTATCACTGGCAATAAAACAGGGCATTTCTGCCCATTTTCTACAGGTATATGTAGAAATGTGTGGCACACTAGAATTTCACAATAGGTCATACAGGTACAGTCCTGCCTCATTACATGTTCTGTCCTAATTTTGAGAAAAAACACCTTGGCAGCAGTAAGAGGATCTCCTTACAGGAACTTAGATGGAATGGAGCTTTTGCCCACTGCTGCGTAAGTTGTTATGGCACTAATAATGTTATGGCAGTTATGCCCCTGTGGCCTTCTAAGTCTCTTGACACCTTTGTGATCCTTTCTGTGTAGATATGTAAAAGATTTGATTTATGGTCCACCATTCTGACTTCACAGGTTTGTTGCAACTGAAGCAACCATTAAACTACAGATGCTCAGCAGAGGATGCATACTGTATTAGTAAAATATGTCCAAAGTCAGCATTTGTAGTACATGTGGAATATGTACAGCATGTATTGCAAAATCTTGCAGACTTACTTTTCTAACTCATGCATGGTTTTTTTTTTTTTCACACACCCAAGTAACAGAAAATACAAAAATTTAAAACTCCAATAATCTTTTGTGAATACCCTATGCTTAATACAGCAAGTTTACTAAATTAATTTTTTTCTCAAGATTTTAAAAAAAAAAAAAAAAAAAAAAAAAAGGTAGTTTCTATCAGTTGCCCAGGCTGCAATGAGAGTCACTTGTGCTTTGAATGGTTAGATAGATTATCTTCTGAGAATCTTTTTCTACATTTAGTCTTGATAAATGGATTCAAGCAAAAGGGGAAAACATCTCATCTTATATATTAATAAAATCGGCTAGGAAAATCGGGGCTGTACCCTTATAATAATTATAATAATATTAATAAAATGGAATTATACAGCTAACTAACTAGGCATCATCACCAAAACTATACAATGTCATAATGATATGCAGTTAAAGAACTGACAGGAATGCACCAATTTCAAAATGATTTTAACACTGGACCTGTACAGATATTGTTAGCATACTATTATTTAGTCCGAAAATAATTAAATACTCTTTTGCATTTACAAATGAGCAGTGTAACATATTACACAATTTTATTATGGTTAACCACCTTGAAAGCTATAATAATTACTAAACAAGTCATCAAAAGTCAGCTTCTGATTATAAAACCACTTTTACTTTTACATTCATAATAATATAAGGACTTGTGTTATATTGTATTTCTTGTTTATCTTATTCCTCACCATGTGTCTTCATGGTGTAATTGGAAGCACATACAATCAAGAGACCCACAGTTCAAATCCTGGCAAGGGCATAACTGATTTACAGTGTTGCCTGCTAAGCCTATCAGACACTACTTTAAAACTAATCTACTCTAATACTACTTTAAAACATTCAGATAATTTAAAAAAAAAAAAAAAAAAAAAAAAAACTTTATGATACTTTAGATACACATCAAGATCCTGATACTGCAACAAAAAAAACATGATCATTACACTAGTTACTTTCAAACAGTCAAACGATTTTGAGAAAGAAATGAAACATTATTCTATAAAAACATAAAAATAAAATGCAATCTCAAGGCAACACCAAAGATTTTATACATATACGTATATAACACCAATATATAAGTTACAATATTTTTAGCTTCATATTTTATAAAAATTTAGCTATAAGTTGAGTATTAAAATGAATAAATAATAAACTATGAAAGGAAGTATACAAAAAAAACAAATGCTTACTTTCAAGATTTTCTCCAAGTAAAGGTTCATCTTCCAGAAATTCTACAGCTCCAGTATGATAGCCATCTCTCTCCCCCTTTTTTAAGATTCGAAAGCGTTTGCTTCCTATAGTATCAACAACAGATCTGCCATCTGGGAAGTACTGAACATCTCGTATTTCCAGCATAGTGCCAAATTCTGCTATGCTTTAAAACGGACATTATTAATTATTACTTCATCAAATAAATGAATGATGCTTCATGCAAGCAAGAATTTAGTTCACAGTTCATGGATAGAGAATGCAAGATCAAGTTCTCTAAATATATTTTCAGTATAAAAGATAAACCAGTAAATATTTTCTCTTTGAAAATTACACTTTAAATTTTCCATTATATTGTCAGTTATTATATAAAACACTTACTTGCTTATGCATTACACAAAAGTTTTATTTACCTTCATGGATAAGAAAAAATACATTTTTTGCTTTGTGAATTTTATAAGATCACCTTTGTTTACATAATATAAACAGGAAAAAAATTAAAATATTAAAATTAATTTGCTACTAATAAAAATTTCATATTTTAGATTTGATAAAAAATTATCCTCCCCCTTTCTCTTTGGCATAAATATTTTTGATCAAAAGCATGATTTCACTCAGAGCCAAGAATTACTGCTTTCTAGATGTGAGGAAATATTTGGTTCTCTAGGATGAATTACAACATATTTTATTCTGCAATTAGTACCTCGAGATTCTTCTAAGATTCTTCAATTCCTATTCATATTCCCTACTCATTTACCAGTTGAATGGCTGGGTATTTGCCACTATCATCTGCCATTTTTTACCCTCGTCATTTTTTTAAAAATTAGAACTAAAATATGAAGTGCAAATTAGGGAAAACCAAATGTTATCAATCAATACATATTTAAAAACAATACCCTAACAGAGGAAATTAAATTTGCAAATTCGAACCTAGCAGATTGAACAGATGGACAAATGCATCCCCCTCCTCTCCAAAAAAATGGTCATATTGATAATTAAAAAATTAATTATTATTATTTACATATAATTAAAAAATTGTATGTAAATTAAACTAAACAAAAAAATCACATAATAGCTGGCATCAAAGCAGCAAAAATAATACAGTCGACCAAAACGATGCATAAATTTTATAGTGATGTCAGATGAATACACATATATTGATTTCTGACAGTCAGGAAAATTTATTTATGATTTCCCTGCTCTGCTCATATGTGCAAGACATTGATATGACAGAGATGTCAGATGATTTTCTGCCATGAGGCCTACTCAAGACTATGCACGTAGATGATGATCTGGCACCATCTGATGCTATTCTTGCTGAAGGAAGTATGGCTTAGGATGATCAATGCATAAGCACTGAAACAATTAAGGAAGTAGATGATGAAATTAATAAAGTTACACTTGCAATAAATAGTTTTCAGTAAAGACAGTCAGCTGCTGACTCAAACACTATCATCATCGAGGATTGGCAGAACACCTGGTCTTACTTGAGGAAGGAAGCTAACAACTTGAGGGGTACGCTAAATTTGCCTCACAACTCTGGTTTAGCCAAAACTAGGAGGAGCAACCCTATGATCTTAAACACAAAGTTTTTAAAATTTCTGTAAAGAGTGAAAATATTGATGATGAAGATTTTAAGCTTGGTACTAAAACTGTTAAACAATTAAAAATAGATAAAACTGATTATACCCTACCAATTCACAAAAATAAATTCAACGCTCTAGGAAATAGGTTGAGCTTCCCCAGACACATGGAGTGTGCAGGAGAAATCCATTACAAAAGCCTCTGGCATCCTGCCAACTGTGGTGAATCCAGCAGCATGCTCATTTGATGATTTTTGAAGTCAAATTTCCCAAAATATGACTGCTAAATTCATATGAAAAATTAATGGCATGTTCCTAAAAATACTGCCTTTTAGAGAGGATGATTGCGGAATTCCCTGAAAATTATTCCATGAGAAACACAGTAAGCATTATGTTATTAGCACAAGCATAATCGACCTATAAAGGTGGTACTTAGTGGATTGCTGATTTTGGCTTACAAAGATAAGATTCAAACAACATTCATTGAAAGAGGATTTTCAGTACAATAAATTGTACAACTTACCCATGACTAAAGCTCCCATGCCCCCTTTTCCTGATATATCTGGTTCAGATTCAAAATGCAGATAAAAATTTATGAAATAAAGAACCTAATGCTATTCTCTATTATAGCAGAAAAACACATATAAAACAAGCAGTTTTTTTTCAATGCTGTAACTGCCAGAAAAGGCATCATTCTTCATTAAAGTACTTTCTTTAACCACAATGTGTTAAATGTGCTTTATCACATACAACAGACTGCACGAATAAGGATATAATGGATGAAGAGAAATGCATAAATTTTAAGTCAGTAGGATAACCAACTTCTTAAAACAGAAAAAAAAAAAAAAATTCTTAAACCCAGAATTAACAAATATGAAAATAACAGCCCTATTAAAAAAAATTATGCACAAGCTTTAAGAAATCAGAACTTTAGCAACTAATGCATGTTTTAATGGTTATCAAAATGACAGCTTGCTAGATCAGGTTCCCGCTGCGAAATCTAATAAAGAGAAAACTGTGATTAACAAGCAATCTGTAACCTCACAATTAAAAGAAAACATAAACACTCTAGTCAAGTGTGAGAAATCATGGAATTTCTCAGTTACATCAATGAACTTACAGGAAGAGCTAATATATATGTCATGATTTGTATTTTTAATAAATATATGCCTGAGCTAAAAAGCTGCAATAATTCTTGAATTTTTCTTACATTTTTCAAAATCATGAATGAAATCAATGATGTATACAAATAATATGCTTAATTTATTTCTCAATTCAAATGTGCAACTTTTCTTAAATTTTATTTGACTGGAATATTTCTTAATTTTTACTGACTTTTTCCCAGCTTTATTTCTCCCAGCTTAGTTTATGTAATTTAACTCATATAATATAAATATATAAGCATCAATCATTATTGCAACACATTATGTGAATTTTTTTAGTATCTTACTCTTATTTTTCTCATTTTTTCCTCCTAATTTCAGCCCCTTCCTGTTTTTGGATTGGTTTATTTAATTATGGCAATGCACACTAAGGCTATCTGCCTAAGAGGAGGGATGCCTTCGTGGAGGACTTTCTAAGGGAAACTGGGTCAACCACAATCTCTAAAGTTTTCCAGCTTCTGAGGTCACATCTCCACCTAGGTAACAGCATTAGGCCTCTTCAGCAGTTCACCAGATGCACTTTTGGCATGGATTAGAATAACTGGCTCAGATGGAAATTATAAGGCATATTTGTGGCAAATGTGGATTCTCCATACATCTTCTTAACATCTATGACAGAACATTTCAAATGCTATGTATTGTTTAACACAGAGGATGAGACTTTTGTCTAGGTGTGTGCTTAGGTTCACAGAAAGTGGTCCATGGAACCCTAAGAATACCAAATAGAAAATATTTACAATTAAAGCTGGGCAGTTAGACTTATATTAGTTTGGAATGTTAGAATCCACAGGGTGTCTATAATTAAAGAACCCTATTTCATAGCTGCCTATAAGCAAAACCAGAGATGAGAAAATTGTGAAATTTTGTGCCGGACTTAGAGAAGTGATGAGAATTTCTTCCAGTGGAAAAAAATATTAATTACAAATAGCATCACCTGAGGGCATTTTATTTTGAAAACCTTTAGTAAAAATGTAAATGTTTGTTGATGTCATGCAGCTGTTATAAAAACCTACAAACATCCACACAGATTTTGTTTTCAATGTGCTTGTTGCTCATAGTGACTGTAAGTTTACGAGATTGTGCTTTCTTAGTACCACAGTTCTACAGTACCACTTTGTTAGTTTGCTACAACAGTAATTCCATGGTAGCTGCTCTATGGAAATTTTGGACCTCGAAGGGGATTCTAAGAGGTCCAATGAATGTTAGAAACCTTCAGAAAATAACAAAATTTGAAGAAACAGCATTGTTTTCTGTTTATCCTGGAAGAGGAATCAAACTTGTTTCTGCAAAAGCAGTACAAGAGGTTGCGTTTCAAGTCGTACAGGGCAGGCTAGCACTAGTGTCCGACATATAGCAGTTATTCTGAATAGATCACATTCCATTCATAAGACCTTGTGGATTATCCTCCGATGCTATCCTTATAAACTTTCACTAATGCAGCAGTTGCTTCTACAGGATTTTGACACTTGACTATGGTTCTCACTTCAGTTTCTTGTTTGCTTTGAGGTAGATTCAGAATGGCCTTGGAGTATCTTCGGGACAGAAGAAGAGCATTTTCATTTGGTTGTGAATATTCACAACTGCTAAATCTGGGAATCAGAAAATCCGCACCCTGCCTATTAGAGGTTATGTTGCATTCACAAAAAGTGACGGTATGGTGTGGATTTTCTATGTCTATTCTCGGCACTTACTTATTTGAGAAGTTAACAAGCCCAGTGATATGCTCGATAAGAGATATACATTGCTGTTAGAAAATGGAAATATTCCGTCACTGCAAGCACGTCAGTGCCTTCGCACATTCTTTATGCAAAATGGAGTTCCTCCACACATTGCACTGTGTATTACTAATGTTCTTAAATGTTATTTTACAGAACAACGTGTTACTAGCTGGCACTTTCATAATGTGTGGCCTCTCAGATAGATCCCCAGACCTCAATCCATGTGATTTTTGGCTTTGAGGACATTTGAATTATCAGGTAAGTTGTGAGAATCCAAGAACTTTACCTGATCTTAAAGCCAATATCTCGCACCAAGTGCTGAACACCTCCCAGCACACACTTCGGTTACTTGTGGAACATGCCACCTTGTGATTTCAGATAGTAGCTGAAAATGATAGCAATCATGTGGAACATGTTTTTGTAACAAATTTGTAAAATTATAAAACTATAATAATGGGTGCGAAGGTACGTGCAATTTATTAACATATCACCCTCTGGTGACACTATTTGTAAGCAAATTTTTTTTTCCGCTGAAAGAAATTTTCAGCCCCTCATTAAGACCACCACAAAATTTCACAATTTTCTAATCGCTGATTTCGTATGTAGGCAACTTTGAAACAGCACTGTTTAATTATAGACACCTTGTATATAAATTGCACCAGCACAGCATTAACAGACTTTCTATTTAGGAAAACCTGCCTACATTTTAAATAAAAAATTAACCTTTTTAATAATAAAAAACAAACTTTAGTTAAAATTATCAACAACAGAAATTTACAGTTCTTCAAAGAAATACAGAAACCGACACTCCATTGGTGTTGAGCAGTTTATAATCAATAAATATTTAAATTTTGACTGTCTATAAACAATAATATTTAAGTATTTATTGCTGGCTTAATTTTATACTGAGGCCTACTAGCGGCCGAGTGGTAACATCGATGAACACTGGTAGTTCAGTCCGAGGTTCGAATCCCGCAAATGGGCTGGCTGCATGGGTGTTTTCGTAGTTTTCTCCTTGTGTAACGTGTATGAGACAGTTTCCCTTAAAAAGTCCTCCACAAAGGCATCCCTCCCTTAAGGCAGATAGCCCTCGAGTGCTTTGCCGTAATCTAATAAACCAAACTAATTTTATACCTCATGTTGAAGCTCAGTATATTGATATTTCTGGATAAGAAACCGTCACACATGGGCTTTAGAGATACCATTACCGTTGCTTTTTGTTTAAGCCACACATGGGCTTTAGAGATACCATTACCATTGATTTTTGTCTTATTTTAATTCTGATACTAATAACTTTACTTTGATATAGAATTACAGACATTTATGTGCTATTTTATTTTTCAAAACACATTTCATTCTTTATTAACAATTATTAAAATGCAATGCAATGTTTAATTGTTTTTAATTTGTTTCTTAAATTTGAAAGAATTATTTCAAAACTAGATATAGCAACATGCATATGTGTTCCATTTTCATCTCTTAGACATGCATCAGTTATGTTATGCACAGAATTTTAAAGAAAAACTCTTTTGCTTTCAGTTCAAAATGCATATTAAAATTAGTACTTGTTTTCTGATTAATAGCTATAGTAAAATGAACTAAAATCTGAAGACAAGCATTATGAAGATTTTTAAAAAGTAACTAAAAGTATTCAAAAGTTCATTCTGAAACACATGAAATGATTTTCTGCAAAACTCTTATGAGAAAAATTCATTATCTGAATCATCATAAATATATTCTCTTTAAAAACCAAATGCAGAAATTACACATATGAATATTAATTCTGAACAATCTTAATTAAGTAGCGTTTTCTGATTTTCAGTAATGAAAACATTTTTGTAAAAATTTTATATTTTCTATAAAAAATTATTTAAATATGTATCAACTATTTAATTTTAATAATGAATTACATTTTGTCTTTATTTATAGACAGAATACATTATGGATTTGGGGGGGGGGAAATGACAAAGTGCAATCTTGTTCTACATGCCTAATGACATTTAAGTTGCCCAAAACTAAAATTTTAATGTAATGAGTAAAAATACAAACTAAATATTATTGGCCACAGACAAGCACATGGAACAGAATATGAGGCATTGTGCTTTCTTCAATTAAACACATTTATTTGTCTTACTATGAAAAAAAAAATCTTTACTATTTCTGGCTATGCTTAGAATACACATAATTTACATGATGTACTTCCTTCCTTCTACTTAATGGGAGGGGGTAATCTGTTTTGTGTTGTCTAAATGGCATCATTCTCATGTCTGTATACACAATTTGAAAATTTTAAGTTTTAATTACAATCTTATGTCATATACTTGCTGTAAAAATGCACTTAATAAAAGCAAAAAAAAAAAAAAAAAAAAAAAAAAAACTATGCAATGTATTATGGCATTCTATAGCTATATGAGCACAAGTTGAGAAAATTGCAGCTAATCTTACATATTATGTCCTTACATTACTTAAGATAATATTTACTTGTCATCAATGTAAGCACACATTCCAAACTGTCGGCTGCCAGATTCCATGCATTGTCTTATCATAAGTCTATAGCGAGGCTCAAATACATGAAGAGGACAAGGCACTGTGGGATATGCTAATGTACATACAAATAGAGGGATCACATGTTTAGGATCTTTGCCTGCACTAAAATGAAAAGTGCATCATAAATAATTCACCAATCAAAAACATATAAGTGAAATCTTAAGCACAGCAATTTATTACAACACAAATGCCCAGTTTTAGGGCCTGCATCCACTCTGGCCAGAATGGCTGGATAATACTTCCACATAAAATATTCAATAAAAACATTATAAAAATGCATTTTATAAAAAAATTAGACTGCTCACTAATGAAATCATTTCATTTTCATAAATATTTTAAGAGATTTCACTTACCTATATTTTATAAGGTACAAACAAAACAAAAACTTGATTAAATTCACAGAAGGAATCAACTTTGTTACATAATTTACTTCTTCCTGGATTTTCACACTTCATACTAAAAATTATATTACTTTAAAAAAAAATGCAAAGTTCTCCCTACTACTACATAAATACAAGCTTTAAGAAAGATTCAGAAATCCTCTAATTAGTCTTATGACTAATTGTGTTACATGTGAATTCTCAAATACTGTAAAATATTACTGCACTAAATTAGTTGATTTTTGTAATTAAAAACTAATTATCTTATTATTTCTTTTTAACACTCTGAACTACCATAAATGCAATGTAAGATTTAAAAAAGATAATATACATTTGTTATAAATAAATGTCCATATAAAAACAGTTTGCCATTTACAGACAATTACTTAAATATCAAATTATACATTTCAGTACTTCATGAATAATTCAGTTAAATAAAAAAAATTAATTAAAATATTATTTTCTGTTTTGAGAAAATTAAAATCAAATCTTTAATACAACATGACTTCATTCCAATAAGAATGGATGCAAAATGTCTTACTTGGATAATTCTTCCATCTCTTCCATATAAACAGATTTTCTTTCTTCATAATCACGTGGGAATAGAGTTTTGATGGCAAGTTCAACAAAAACAGTTACACTTTGAACACGTTCAGCCAAGAACTTTTAAGAGAAGTTTAAACAAAGTTAATACACAAATATTATTAAGCTACTAAAATAAATCTAAATTCTCTATAAATGTAATACAACATAACTGAAATGAACACTTAATATAATATTAAACAGTTCTTTGCTCACTTCAGCAAGTGATGTTTTGCATAGAGGGCAAGTAGGCTGATGATCTAAGCAACGATTTAAGCAAAATCTACAGAAGCTATGCCCACATGGTGTTGTAACCGGCTCCCACAGAATCCTAAAAAGAAAATGCATTCAAAGGTATGTAGTCTTAACTGAATGTTATTAGGAAATTAAATTATATAGTACTTTCTTAAATCATTTACTTAAAAGCTTATTAACAACATAAAAGAGCTGTTCTTTTATTTCAACATAAAAGAATTGCAATTCATTTATCCTTTCACATAACCTACTGAAATTTAATCTTTGAAAAGAACAAAAAAAAAAAAAAAAAAAAAAAAAAAAAAAAAAAAGCCCAAAGAAAAAAATATATTCTATTAACCCTCACTCTTATAGTTTAGAACCTGAAATAGTAAAATGTAGAGACAGTCCAGTGGTTTAAATGATAAAAATACTAGTAATCATGTTGCATTTCATTGGAAGTGGCAAAACTTGGTAGTTTCATTCGCATTTTCATGCCTTGTTTTTGCATAGAACATATTTGAACTAATTTCCTCAACAAAAGCATATTTCCTTAGTGCCAAGGGATATAAAGTCCTGGCATGCTTTTTCAGAAATAATGATTTGTTAGTTATAATAACAAATGCAAATTATTAAGTTTTAAAATACTATGCTAGAACTACTAGATAAATGCCATATAAATAAACTGAAATGCATCTAAATTTAATTACGCAAGTGATAAAGAACTCTCAATACTTTTTTTTAAGATAACTATTTTAAAATTAGCCCTACAAGTACAGTGATAACTATTTTTAAACTAGGGGCATTAACAAAAATAAGTACATTAATATTATGGCATTATAAGTACAAACATGGTCCGGATTTTCAATTTGGGGCTCACAAAACTTTGATCAACTGAAAAGCTAGTTAGCCCCTTAAAAAAAAGACTAGAGAATAAACTGCAGCAATCCAGAATATATCAAATTACTAAGTAGAAATGGCAAGTTTCAATTTTTTTTTTTTTTTTTTTTTTTTCCCCTTCTAATTTAGAGACCAAACTTAGCTTTGATGGAATCAACCACTCCCTGGTTTAAACTTAAAAGATATATTTGGAAATACCTTCTAGAAATTTTTAGATCAAACTAAGAAGTAATTTTTTTTAAATTATTCATCTATCACTGAGGATAGAAGAAGGTCATATTTCATAAAAGATACTTGCCTTAAAGATTACATATATATATAAACAATATACAAGATTCTAAAGCAAGGAGTAAACCTACGTTTCAAATATTAATTGGTTGCTGAAATCCCTTTTTCACTTTTTAATTAAGCAGAAAATCCCCAGTTTAGATGACATCTGCTTTACTTCTTCCCAAATAAAACTAATTAGCTGACAATAAATTCCTTAGTTTTTACTCACAATAAGTGTATTTTTCCTTCATGCACAAATTTAGTTTCATAATTCCTTTTCAGGTAAACCAAATTAATTGTAACCTCACATTTTACATATCTTTCCAGCCAACTCTGTGCTTCGGCGTAAATTTAAAAATAAAACAGAAGACACTGAGGTTTAACACTAATGTTTTAAGACATATTTGGAGGCAGGTGAAAATGTGACTTTTCCTGTGCATCAAATTCATATACTTTACTGCTGAATGATTCAAAAACAGATTATTCAGTAGTAGAGTAAATACAAAATCAGTTGTATGAACTGTACGATAAGTAAGCATAAGTGAAACTTTGATTTTTTTAGATTATGACAAAGCATACCAAATATACCAAGCACCATACTGCTGACAAGTAGAAATACCTTCTTGGGGGATTTTCCAAGAACGAACGGCTTAAATTCATGTTACATATAGGGAAACTGACCTGTTTGCTGGAATCTTAGGTCAACTTACCAGCATTAAACAGTCCTATTTACTCAAGCCACCAGTGGGTAAATAAAGACCGTTATATGAAACGTAAAAACCAAAATTCAGAATATAACACTAAAAATATTATCCTTTAAATTTTAAACAAAAATCACACACACATACACAGAAAAAATTTAATATTAAGATATGCAGCATTACCGCATGCATAAAGGGCATTCAAAGTCTTGCTTATCAAGGCCAGAAACATGAATTCCTTGAGAGACTGACTTTTCATCTGGGGGGGGAAAAAAAAATATTACTCAAACTTTATTAAAAGCTCTCAAAATAAGATCTTACAATTTCAAAATAAATAAATTAACAAAGCATCTAAATATATTTTGTCAAAAAATGGTGGATTTATTTTAGTATGGCAAAGCATGCGAGGGCTATTTGCCTAGTTGGCAAGGAAAGATAATATACCTAAGTTAAATGCAACCATAACAATTACCGCATACAACTTAAAATTAATCTTTAATGCACCATAGTGTTTCTTAAATAATACTTCAAAATTTCCATAACAGATCCATAAAATCTTTAATGTAATTAAAATGAATCAGATGGTTTTACATATTTGCTTAAAATTAATAAATTTGAAGAGACATCACGACGCAAAGAAACCCATTTTTATTTAAATGTAAATAATCCGCTTTTAGCTGTCAACGACAAAAAATAGTGAAAAGAAAAATTGGCACAAGATAACATTTCCTTGAAAAGTCAAACACATTACATGCAATTTTTACAGCAAATTGAATGTCTTAATTGAAAACAATCTTTCTGCTGTTCTTTTCAAGTGAATTTCTCAATATAAATGATAGATGATAGTATCTGCAAGATACCAGACTAAGCGCTTTCTAAATATGAAATTTCTCTTAAAAATTTTTACTTGTACTCTTGTTTAAATAATTCTTTTGTGCATTTGAATGACGACTTAATTGTTCATTAGAATACCACCATTAAGGCATTAAGTATTTGCTTTTGTGCTGTGAAAAATGGTGTAAGGACATTTAAGTGTTTTTTTTTTTTTTTTTTTTTTCATTACGCAATCATAATCTATGTTTTCAAATACTCCAAGCTGTGGCTCGTGCAGTTCTATCTAAACTTTGATGTAACAATAATTGTACTATAGCCATTCACATTAATTCCTAAGTCTACATCTAAAGGTTTGATTTCTTATAAATCATGTAGATAATGTTAGGGATGTAATATTCAAAGAAATATTCAAAGTTGCTTTACAAAAGGAAAACACACTGCTAAAATTCAAAGTACTCATGAGATTTTTATTTTGTACTGTTTGTTTCATTTTCACTTCAATTCGAATCTATTAAGATCCTATCAATTTAACATAGTTTTGAATACAATGTACAATGGTGCATGTTACTCTGAATTTATATATTGTTGTGACATCTAAATTGTCTTTGATTATGTACAGCAAGCAGTAGATCCTAAAGAAATCTCTAATAGATTTTGCAGGCATTAAAGATAATAACAATTCTTAAACTATGAACTGCAGACTCCTGGAGGTGTAAGAGTTAATAGCTAGGACAACAGTTATGAATTTATAGCAAGTACCAATATTGATTTGAATGGGATGCCTGAAAAAGACTCAAAGCAACCTTGGGCATGAGATAAAAAAGAATGAATCAATAAGAATATCTATCACAATAAAAAGTATTTTTTACGAGTAAAAGCATTTTAGCTAAGTTCACAGATGAAGAATAAAGGAAGAACTATTAATCTGAATCCATTATGGACAACAAGAGTATCATATTACAGAAAAGCTTTATGTAATTTACCTTAATATACGAGCACCAACTCATTCTGCACAGAAGATACTAAAATGCTTTTTAATATATAATACTTTTTCAGTTCCATCATAAACTCAATCATAAAATGTTAAATGATTATATACTAAAATATTACATTCAGCAATGGTTACAAATTTCTTGATTCTTATATGACAAACATTAAAGAGCTGCCTTCACTTACTCATCCCTTATAAGATGCAACTTAATTCAAAGGAACTAGGACATAATGTTTTATAATGTTCTTCAAAAACCTGACAGCTTGAAAACAAAAAAGTTTTGAAAACAGATGATATTTTCTGCTGATTACAAACATATGTAATTTACATACTTTCTGTTTCAATAAAAGCGATTAATGTGCCTTTAAAAGTATTTACAAATGCGAGCTCTTCTTGTAACAATCAGCAATAAGCAAGTCTTCAGAGTTCTTAGTGACAGGAAACTTAAAAAACGCTTGCATGTGTGTAAACAAAATCTCCACAAAAATTTTAATAGCATTTTAGATAACAATGTATCCAAAATGCAATTTGTAAACATTACTAATCTGATTATTTGCATAACAGATGTTGATATTTGCATGAATAATGCAATAATAAGATATCACTATTATCTTCCCTAATGTATTCAAATTTACTTCATTCTACGAACTGTCCTTAACTTAGTATTCCTAAAGTGACTAACAAAACATTTTCTTTTACCAAAGTTTTGTGTATAAAACATGGTAAAGTATAGGATTTAGTGGCACATGCAAGTGGCATTTATATATAAATTAATTTATGAAACAGTACAAGAGCTCAAAATATGTTCAAAGTGGTCTAAAGAGAAGATACAGAATGCTAAAATGGTGGGACCGGGGCAGGGAATATGGGTCAAGAATGTTTTAATTCTAAAAACAGTAAACGATTTTAAGTTATGAAACTGTTTTCTTAATTTTTCTCAAATTACTGCTTTTTCAGCTTTGGGCACCTTTAGTGGAAAAACTGTGTGACATATACATACCAAAAATTTTGTTAAAGCTTTAAACTTTGATTACCTATCCAGTGAATTTACTAATTTATATTTTTTACATTGCGAATTAAAGTTTAAAAAGGCATTAATTAATAATCATGAACAATGTTTACACTTCTTTGTAACAATAATAAAAATTACAGTTGTAATGCCATTAGTATTTTAATTTTATTACTAAATAGGTTAATTAGGGACATATTTTATATATTCTAGCATACCATCAAGGCACAAGTTTTATTGGCTTTTGAGAAAGATGTCCCTATGTTTGTACTTAATCTTGTTAGAGGAAAAACTGTGTATATTTATAATGGTCCTCTAAAGTCACTTAGGAGTAATAAAAATAAATGCTTCATCTTAAAACAATTATGATGAACCACATTCTCATAACAGCTTTATGACATATGTATACTTAAAAGAAATTAGGACATTTAAAAAATAGCTTTTGATTTATTGTATACATCTCATTCCCCTTAAATGATTACACTTAAAAGAAAGTTAACTGGAAAATACTGAGAAATGCAAAACTGGTGCATTTCCTGGTATGATAAGTGGTAATAGCCAGGAAAATATTTTTAATAAAAAAGTTTTAATCACTAGAATCCATTTAGAAATACTACCAATAGACAAAAGCAATGCATAAATAGATACAACAGAAGTCCGCAAAGTTTGGGACCAGAGGTTGTGCCGATTTCAGGACAGAAAAGATAAATCTTAATATTCAAACTCAAAGTGCAAAATAAATAAGGTGTATTAGATACATTTGATTAAATTATTATTACATATTGATTAGATTATTCATTATATTATATGTACACAGCATCCAGGTTTTCCAATTTCGCCTCATGCAAAGATTTCCGGTTTCGGATTCCGGTGTTAGAATCACTTTTGCTGTAAAATTTTAACAGCTTTTCTTTATTTTTCCATATATCATACACAATCGTGTCGCAATTCCATACAATTCTGCTATAAACCGAGGAGTGGAACCTGCCTCCATCTTCTGCAGAATTTGCAATTTCTGCATTACTGTCAATGCAACGTGTTTACGTTTTTCAACGTTGTAAGCAGTAAAATCATGAGTGCGTTTCTTATCTGTCATTGCATTGAAAAGGGTTGAAATTTAAAATATTTTTAATTTATCTACAAAATATCTGGATGAAAAAAAAAGGCAGCACTAAAAAATCTTGTGAAATAACAAAGCTCAGAAAATACAACGTGAATCATGAACTAGAAAGAAGAGTTGAGTAAATCGTCTGCTTTTTTTACCTTTATTCAGATTAAAGAGAAAAAACCTTTTATCATAATGTCAATAATTTGGTATTTCCGTTATTACTCATTATTATTCAGTAATTATGAAGTCATTAATTGGTAAGTATTTTTTCTTTGATATTTCGTACTCAATGTTGTGCTTTCCGGAACCTATAAACTGACTGTTTATATTTTGAGAGGCAATGCAGATTTCAGGAGTTGGTGGATTTTTGGTATTTGACTGTATTACTGAAGTTTACATAGTTTTATAAAAATCATGGGATTGGAAGTTAACTAATGAGCATATCTCACTTCAGTTTACTCATCTAGTTCAGAACAACACTAACCAAAATTTTAAAATTTTTTTACATGAATTATTTTTACTAATAAATTAATAATTTTTACAATTTAAAGAACTGCTGGCTTAATTTCTTGAATCAGGGTTGCCACTCAAACAGGAGAATGAAATTCCCTGACTTTTCCAGGTTTTCCAGGTGCGTTTCAAGAAAATTCCAGTCTATGCGCGTAATGTACGTTGGCTACGCTAACTGGTAAATTATGGTATTACTTGTATTGTGTAGCAAATTCACTTAATTATTCAATAAATCCCAGAGGACATTTATTCTTAATTATTCTTGGTATACTTTGTTTGATAATTTTGTTTACTTTTCCACTTAAGAAACTTAATAAAATTTAAGATATATACATTGGATAACAAATGTATGTTTTATTTAATTATTACTCATGATCATCATCAGTTCAACATGAGGCTAATCCGGTCCTTATAAATCACAATGCAATGCTAAATAGTTAGGTTAGATTTTAGGTAAATTTAATTTGTGTGAGGTATGTTCTTAAAAAGCACCTAACACTTGAAAACACAAATATAATTATAATAGTTGTTGTTTTCTCCATTGAAGATTGAGATTAGAATCTTCCCAATCTGGAATAAAGTAAGGCTTTTTTTGCAGACATTCTGCAGCTAAACGAAAGAAAGAAATCTATTTTAATAAATTGAGGTATTTTATATTTATTTCGCAACATACATAAGAAAAAAATATGTGCATTAAATTTCATGATGGTATGTCATCATACTGCTAGAATTAATTTCAAGATTATGCCAGAGAAAATTTCCTGAAATTTAGAAATATTATTTACTAATAATTAATAAATTTAGAGGGAAGAAGCATCATTAAATTATACGAATAACATAAAAATAAAGATAATTACTTAAAAATTGAATTAGAATAATCAACGATATTTTAGCGAATATAGTTATATTACATGGTTAGCCTAGATGTCACTCTTTGGTCTATGTAAAGAAGAAAATTTTCCATACAAGTAAAATGCTATTACGCCGCTAGAATGCGGAGGGAAAATTTGCCAAGGGATTTGGCGACGGAACCTGGCAGCCAGAATTTCCCTCTCCGCGATGTGTACCGGAAATTGAGAAACTTGTTAAGAAGAAATATTCTTTGACAAAAAGAAAGCTACGAAAATCCGTTTTTAAATTATTGCGAAAAATCCAAGAAGAAACATTTTATCAAAGGACATTTCTTCTTGGATTTTTCGCAATAATTTTAAAAACGTATTTTCGTAGTTTCCCCCCCTGAAAATTACTAACCCATGAATTAATTTACTTGCGACAAAAAATATTTTCTTTTAATTTTGAGTTTAACTACTTGCGCTAAGACTAAACTTCACGGTTGCGGTGCCGTGCGCTACAATATAGCAAGTGATAAAGTGTCTCATTTACGCCGCTCCGCATCTGCGAGTGCAATCCAGAGCTGTAACTCGAGAAATAAACAATCTCGTTGTTAGGCGACGTGTGCACCATGTTATTTTCATTTTTGCGATAAATGCTTATCGACGTGGTGTTCATGTCGCTCGCAGTTTGAGACAAAAACATCTTGACGTGCGTAGCACGTCTTTTTAGCGCACGTGGTTAAAGAAATTTTAAAGGATATTCATTTAATGAACTCTTGATAACGTGACCTTCGAACTTCGACACCGGTTTCCAGCTTTGGCGGCAGATATATCACGCATGCACAGCTGTTTCCCTCTATGATGGAACGGAGCCACGTCTGTTGCAGAGAGGTTTTCCTTCTTTACAATACATATTCTTTAATTCTAACCTCCATGGTACCATATACTAAGATTAAACCCATTTTGTTTTATACACGAGAATGGGACAGGTATTTTACTTTAGTTCAACATGCACTGCACATGCGATTCTTAGGATTCTCGAGGAATACTGGAAACCAAAAGTTGCGGGAAACTTGCTTTGCCTTTCTAAAAGGCAATCAAATTGGAGCTGCGAAAATTGGCTCTATGCCAGCAGACACTCACGTGATAGGCAATTCGCCAAAAAAGTTATCTCTTCCGACATCGGCGCAAAAATCGCTTTTTTTGGCGGGATCATTGTATGAACTTCCCTGACTTTTCCAGATTTTGACAAAAATACTTAAATTCCCTGACTTTTCCCTGAATTTTTTGGTCAATTTTCAAATTCCCTGACTTTTCCCGGTTTTCCAGGTAGCGTGACAACCCTGTTGAATGCTTTTATAACAAAAGCAAAAAAGTAGATTTTTCCATAGCCAAACCTACTCACCAATTATCAATATTTCCAATTTCGAGTGGTGGTGAAATAAGCTCCCTCCTTCACTTTTTACAAGTCTCTGCTTTCTTACATGACTACATAATTTTGGATCAGATGAAGAATGTGTTTTGTATCGAAATTCTTTAGTGATGGTATGTTATTTTAAAATCATTCATTTAAGATGACTGGACAAAATGAATAAAATAAAAAGAATACAAATAAGTAAAAGGGGAAAAGATTTAAACAAATTTTAAATAAACCACAAAGTATATTAAAATGTACCTATTTCATTGCTACTTTTAGAATAAAAGACTACTTAAAAAAATATGATAGTGCACTCTCAAATAAAAATGCTAAGGGAAAAGTGTTTATTTTAGAAACTGAAGTGCAAATTTGACAAATCTGAAATACAGAGCTTTTTATGAATAATTTATGAAGCAGTTTTTAATTTCCATGTGCCAAAACCTGAAACTATGTACAACGATAGCAAACAAAACTGAGCCAAAGTAATGAATCATGCATAAGGTATTTGATATCATTTGGGATTAGTTTTAAATATTATACTTTTCCTCTACATAACAGTGAGGAAGTTAAGAAGCCATAACAATTCATTGTGTCACTGTAGTGCCAGCTGCAACTCAGATTTCTGCTGCTAATTTCGATATTTACCTTATTTTCATTTATACTATACAGTGCACTATGCTAAAAATGGATCAGCAGAATCCCTTATGGACCCAGACTAATGGATAATTGAAATTCCACTGTACCTGTATTTACTCATAGTTATTTAGAAAAGTTTTTTTTTTTTTTTTTCGAAAAATACAAGCCATTTTACAGTAATTAAGAAATTCTTACATTTAAGAAATTTAAGAATGAATGCAGAATGTATGTACTCAATTAATCCTACAAAATCAATGGAAAGATATTCCTCTTTTTAAAGAAATACAAACTAAGACCATTTAAATATACAAATTTCATTTAAGTGGAAATATACATTTTACAGAAACAAAATACACTGATGGGGAGGAGGGGAAAAAAAACCAACACTAAGAATGAGTTGTGCTACATACACAAAATTTGGCAGACATCTTGATACATCTGAAAGATGACTTCTATTAAAATTTTGTGTAGGTATGTAAGAGAGGCACTAGTACTGCCACTGAAACATGAAAATCAAATTTGCTTTAAATGCTGTAAAGTCTCTGAGTATTATTTATCATAGAGAATTGATGTTAATCAAGATTGCCTTTAAGATGAAGATGCCATTATCAACAGCTCAGTGAGTTTGAATGAGGTCATGTAAGAGGGCTATGAAAAGGTGGATTTTCTTTCCGTGATATTGCAGAAAGATTTCGCAGGAATGTATCCACTGTGCATGATTGATGGCAGCAGTGGTCAAGGGAAGGAATTGGCTCAAGAAGACTGGATTCCATGCAGCCATGTGGCATTATTGAGGGAAGACAGCCATATTCTGCATATGGCTGAGGTGCAAAGTACTGGATCTGCAGCAGAAATCTCAGTTGCAGCTGGCACTGCAGTGACACAATGAATTGTTACAAACCACTTACTTGAAGAGCAGCTTTGAGCTAGACGCCCTGTAGCGTGCATTCAACTGACTCCAAGCCACTGCTGTTTGCAATGTCAGTGGTGTCCAGCTCACGAGAAAATGGAGTGGAGATCTGTTGCTTTCTGATGAAAGCCAGTTCTGCTTTGGTACCAGTGATGGCGGTGTGTTGGTTAGAAGGAGGCTAGGTGAGTACCTGCAGCCAACCTGTCTGTGGAAGACACACTGGACCAACACCTGGAGTTATGGTCTGGGAAGCAATTTCGTCTGACAGCAGGAGCATTCAACCTGTTCTGCTGCCAATCATAAGCAGCATTCAAGGGGGTGTTTTTCAACAGGATAATGCTCACCCTCATACTACTGTTGAGACCCAACATACTCTACAGTGTGTCAACATGTTGCCTTGGTCTGCTAGATCACCAAACCTTTTTCCAAATAAGCATGTATGGGACACCACTGGACAAAAACTCCAGAGTTATACATAAGCAGCCTTAACTGCCCCTGTATTTAATGACCAAGTGCAACAGGGATGGAACTACATACTTGCATTCAAAATTCTGGTGGTTACACTGGGTTACACTGGTTATTAATGTACCAACATTTCACATTTGAAACAGGTCTTGCACCTGCATTAGCCTGTAATTTTGAAAATTTAATTAATTAAATCTATTACCTAGACAAATGTATTGCCGAAATTTCATTATTCCACAATACATTTTTCTTTGTGTTGGGATATTTTTTCGTCAGTGTATTTTTAAATAAAAATATTAGCTCCAACAATGATATCTGCAATAAAATTTTAGTGATATTATTAACTTAAACAATTCACAGAAAGATTCCATACTTTAACAAGAAAAAGAAAGCATTACCTAGTATTTTTTCAACACTATCGAAAAAAAATTCCAGGATTCCGTGCAATTTACTTCTTCCAGTACATTCTTTCCATTCAATTCCACTCCAGTCCTATTCATATCACACATAAATAATAAAAATCATTGAATACATTTGTATCAAATTGTCATGCACTTGCACTGTGGAAAAAAAATGGATATTTAAATTATAAAAAAATTAACATAATAAATTTATATTTGATCTACAGCAGGATTAAATTTAAACACGGCCCCTGAATGACTTAAAAACATGCACTTGCGCAGACTGTTTGGCAGACCTAGTCACCGAGTTCAACAGCTATCTCCTCTTTTGATAGAAAGATCAAGTTATGCATGGAGATGGTTTCTCTTGAGTAATTGAGGCTTTAATGTGCCAACACACTAACAGTGATGTGTTCCAAGTTTGTTACTTTTATCAAAGAAGCTGACTACTTCCAGCTACTTGTCTCAATAAGCAGATCTGGTTGTAGACTCTTCATGTATCTTTGGTTCTCCAGTTTATGAATTAATCTAGTTACAGAGCCAGAATGGAGATATTTTCTGAAAATCATTAGTAGCACAAGAAACAAAAAAAGGAACTGAGGTGATGGAGTTTATTATTGACATTTGCTACGTTGCATGCTTTTTCATTGAAAGCATCTTACTGCTTTTACTGACAAAGGATGATGATATTTGAGCCATACTTGAGAAAAACAAAGATTCGAATCCAACATCTCTAAACATTATGGAGCCCAACAAAGGGATGTAGATCCATATGCCAGGGCTAACCGGGTATATATGCAAACTGAAGATTCAAGCTTGGTTTTTCGGAAATCCCCAGACCACTGATACTACTAGTAACCAGCTTGTCGACACTAGTGGTGACTTCTAAATATCTCTCATATGAGCTGAAGCAGTGAGCAAAGCAGTATGTTGAGGATAATATCTTATTCCTCAATTATTACGACCCTCCTATCCAGACATATGGGTTTCCATGCATAGCAAATGCATAGAAGTTTTCTTCCCATGGTAAACCAGAGACAAAATTCTTGCAACAGCATTTCACTGCGAGTTCCATCCTCGAAAAAGGAAACAGTAAGAAAGGAAAAAATGCAAACCTAAGGCAAGAAAAGAGAAAAGAAAATATTACTGCCCCTGCATACTGTAACATCTGATATAGGTGATCTCCCAAAGTGTTAAAGTACCTCAAGACTGCCACACCCATACTCATGAAGAGCGAGCTGAGGGCACAACAGTAGAAAGTTAAAAAAAATAGTACAATTAAGATAAAAGTATTCCACTTGTCAACATTATCACTAATCCAGACAAACTCTCACAGAAAACATTTCAATGGGAAAAATGAAACATATGCAGTAAACACCTTTAAAAGACTTTGGGATTCATTAACTGATTGTACGAATATTCATATTGTTACAAAATGACCAGGCGCGGTGAGATAGCTTCCCCATAAAGAAGTTTTAGGGTTGCCATGAAATGGCAAGAAAGGCAGGGTTGCCACATTTGGCGACAAAATTGGCGATATGCCATGGACAAATGGAGAACTTTCTGGAACAAATTCTTACCGGTTTAGTCCAGAATGTTCTCAAACACAAGCCGAAAGCTATATAAACCATGCTGGTCCGCAGTCAGTGTGTCTTGAGTTAGTCAGTCCATGCGGAGTCTATCAAGTTGATAGCCAGGCAGCGAGTGCCAAGTGGGTCGTCGACTGCACCGAAGGAGTCTCATAGAGTATTGCCGAGAGAGCGTGTTGAGCTCCAGGAACGACTGAACCGAAGAGTCAGGAGCTGTGCTCTGTGTGTCGTTGAGTCCATTTACAAGTTGTAGCGTGGAGAGTCTCGAGAGTACATGGAGTTCCAAGAACGACCGAGCAGAGTCGGGAGCTGTACTCTGGTGCTTTGCAGTGAAGCTGTCTCCAACGTTATTGCCTGACAGTGTGAAGGCTGTGTCGCTGATTGTTCCAGCGTGTTTATTGTAGATCTTCGACGACTGTAAAAGTGACTTTGGAGCTGTCCTGATTAGTGTTGGATAAATACAGTGTGTTTCGATACTTCATCATCAAGTGTCGTCGTTATTCACTCCAAACCCTCACGAACCCCGTATGAATGTGAAGGAAGAAAATAACGTAACAACTGGTATCAGAAAATAACAATATTCATATATTATATTTATACATGTCAAAAGTAGAAATTTTATCATGATGCTTTAAATAGACTGATTAAAATATTGTAACACACATAATATACAAAATTTTTCAATATTTATTACAGGCCAGGATAAGATAAAAGTTTTTCTAGAAACAATACATATACTACATGAAATAAAAACTAAAATTATGAATCCAGAAAACAAATAAATGCTAGTGATAATCACATACTCATCAATTACCAATTGTCAGATAAACTGTTAACCAAGAGTTCTTATATTCAGAAGAAAGTCAGCTCAAGCACAAAAAAGCAGATGCAAGAAAACTTACAACAGCAGTTTTAAGATACTATACTTATACTAATATTGTTTCTGATAATGCATAAAAGAGAAATAGGTGCTTCACTTGGCAAAACATGTGTGATCTATTTGCATAAGAAAAGACATGCTTTCCTCGAGAATTTTCTATAAGAAACTCGCTTGTACTTACACAACACTACAGCTTGAAGGAACAGCCATGTGGCCAGTCTCTTCAGAGAGATCTGAGCCTGTATTAGACTGTTAATGTTTAGCAGTCTACTCACAACACTTCTGATAGGAATTATACAGAAGATTTTTCTCACTATATCAACACACAACATTATCGTAGCAATTCAGAAGCACTTCAAAGGGTTCTTCTGAGAACTTTCTTTGAAAAAGGCAAGTATGTTATTCCAGCTAGGCTTTCCTTAGTGGTAAATATGTCTTAAGACTAATTTTCACTATTATCAACACTTCAGTGTTTCTGAGTTGAGATGACTTTCATACCAAAGAATAATAATATTATAATACGCATTTGAATATGAATAATACACACTTTCGTATTTTTTATATTGTGCTTATCATAGGATTTAAAACATATCTTGCTTTGTAAGTTTTCAGTTACATAAATATATAAATTACTATGCCAAAAAATAAAAAATCCTGAAAACAATCTTTAATTAGTTTTCACATAAATCTATCTTAAAAAAAAAAATCGGTATACATGAGATCTGGAAGAAAATGCCATGTACCTACCATTAACATTGCAAATCTCTTTTCGAGAAATACGTATCTATCTTTAACATATATCATGACTTATCTTCAGTGTGAGCAGTTCAGATTTGGAATAATTTTCCAATGATGAATGTAAGTAATCAGGTTATTTGAATTCACTTCAGTTGCAACTGATAATAAGAAATAAATTGCTATTTATCATGTTAAATTTGTGAAAGCTTTTGAACACATCTCGCACAAAGCCCTTATATAAAACCTCGTTCAATACAACGACAATGCTTACCTTAAATCCTTCTTTTAAGAAAAGTTGTTTAGAGTTCATCAGACACAAAATTTTAAACTCATGTTGCACAAGGGTTATGCATTTTGGAAATTTCCATTGTCAGCCCCATCTTATGCTTGAGATTCCCCAAAAGCAGACTTAAGGAATAATATGATGCAGCTAGTTACTTAAGAGGTTGATACAGAAATAGTGATGGAATACGTGTACCCTAATACTCATTAATTCTCAAATACACATGAAAAGCAACTCAAAGCCATTTTCTCACTTTCAAATAAAAAGAACAAGCTCAAAACATAAATATAAAAACCCTCCACTGTTGTCTTACATGATTTTCTAAATTACATCAAAGGTAATATTAGATAGATGTTCAACTGTGTGTCACTTCAAACACCTACTGGCTAGAGAGTCATACCATAGCCAGTGATGATACATTGATTGACATTATGTTAGCTACACTTCACTTTTAGCCTTTGAATTGTCGTGGGAGGTTAACATTTATCTGTTTGACCTAAACAACAAATACACCCCCAAAACATTGTATGTAGAGTAGGATCTTTTTTTTTTTTGGTATTTCAGAAGGAAAGAAAGAACAAATTAGATTTTGAGCAACTTAAGTTCAATTAACATAGGAAATTGAGTTCTTCCCTTAACTTTCTGGTTTGAAACAAACTTATAGGTCCACTGAAGAAAACTGCTAAATTCATGCCCAGAGAGATGGTCCTTATGTGATAGTGACTACAAGATCTCCAACCACTTATGATATTGCCGATCCTCATGAACCCGACAAAATTCTCGGCAGATCATGTTTCAGCCTTGAAACCATATCAAGATCGAAATAAGCAAAACTCAGCTCGTGTAATTCCAGTGGTTCCCTTAAAGAAAAGAGGACGCCCGAAACGTGTAATACCATCCGAATCTGCACCTGTTGCACAAGGTGCTGGTGACGCAAAATCACTCCTCGTCAAACTGGAGCCCGTCCATCTGATTCTCCGCCGCTGCACGAAGTAGACAAATGTCAGTTCCTGACTTCTTGCCGAGACGTCTACGAAGTCAGAGGGGGAGGATGTAACAGACCTATTAAGTGTAATTGAACTATTTTATTCATGTCATGAACTGTAACCGAACTATTTATTTAAACGCCATCTCGTGGCGATATGAAAAACGTCAGTCGACCTCCAGCCGCCATGATGATAGCTTACTATGTTACGTTTTCTCAATGTTTGATGTTCCATTTCGTTTATGTTTCATTTTATATATATTTCTTTTGTTTGTAACCGTTCCTGTGTGCTCTGTTAATAAATCCTTTTAAAGCTAGCCGGCATTAGTGTCTATTGAGGAACGGCTACATCACAGAATCATATTCTTCGCACTTAAACCACATAAAATTCAATTCAAGAGCAAGTTCGCAAAATATTTAAAAAAAGCATATCTTTAGAATTTCCCATAGACAGACTCGCGTGCTGGACATAAAAATGTTTTATTAGGGTACGGTGTTGCTACTGCTCGTTTTCAAATCGTTCAATTTCGAGTGTCTTTTTTATGATTTTATTGGAAGTTCGTTTGCATCTTAAGCAGTAGTAAAATTTACTTAATATAATTTAGCTGGAATAAGAATTAAAATGGCT